TTTAAAAAAAAAAATTTCTAGCAAACATTGCTGTAATGTTACTGGATAAGATAAACGAATCAAACAATTATTAACCTTTCTCAGACCTGGGCATTTAAATGAATCATTTAAATATGAATTTGTAAATTCAAGCAATTACAAGAATCAACAAAATAAAAGCTTAGATGGATATCTTAAAAAGTGATGAAATGTCACTGAATTTGAAAAATCTAATAAATCAAAGAATGCTAGACCTTTCTCAGAACTGGACATTTAAATGAATCATTTAAATTTGAGTTTCAAGTAAGTTTCAAGCAAATAAATTACATAAAATGAAAACTTTAGATGGATGGATACATAAATTTTTTATTACTCTACAAAAACACTTATAAATGCATTGATAAATTAGTAAATTGTTTAAACAAATTACACTTTCCTTTCTCAGAACTGTACATTTAAATGCACAATTTAAAATCAGAAGCAACCAAAAGCCTACCCTTGTTTTCAATATCATACAGTCTCTGTTGCCAGAAGCTTCTGAATGGAGCAATTCCAGTGCCTGGACCAACCAGAATACACGGAACCTGGTTGTCTTTTGGCATACGGAACGTTGGAGCCCTGAAACAGATAATACATCCTTTGATTTCATCAAATCCACAAGAAAACATCCATCAGTGGACATATTTGAGAAGTATATAAATGATTTACCCTCTGACAAAGCATGGCACCGCATCGCCTTCTTCCAAGCTATTGAGCCAGGAGGAACACACTCCGTGGTGCACAGGACCTTCTCCATCTAGCCGGAAAAAAACACATAATCCTTTAATCTGACACCCTGTGACACCGATCTAACGCCTAGCAATTTAGGACTGCGCAGGGCTGACATCACTTGCTTCAAATGGAAAGAAATTGCTATATTTTAGCCGCCAATTACGCCATTATGCACATAATTACATGTTTACAATGCATGTAAAATGTGTGAGAGATTAGATCACAGTTTCTCTTTCGTGCATGTTAACTAGAAAGGCTTAACAGCAAATGAGCAGATCTAGAATTAATTTGATCATTTAATTTTCATGTAGTCCCTATCTTTAAAATAAATGAGCAGCTATTAGATGAACAGTCAGAATCAGACTACTACCACGGACAACCAGCCCAGTTTCTCTTCTGACAATACAGATTAGGCACTTCAGTCAAATTGCTAATTAAGTTCATAGTCTCTTATTAAGCACCCAATTATTCACACCATACCACTGTGGGGGAAATTTGAGTTTTCAGGCCGTATGTCATTGTAACTGTTGAAAGTGAGAGGCTGTTTAGCGTGACTCTCACGGTTTGAGACGAGTGACAGAGAAGCACTTGAAACGTTTTTAACACTTTGAAGTGGATTGCATTGGTTAAACATAGCATCAGGTCTTGTTTACACCTGCTTTGAACATCTGGTGTTGAAGTGATAGGCAGAGATGCATTACCGTTAACACCTGGTACAAACAGCATCTCAAACATGTCTCCGGTGACCATTACCAGTCACTAGATATTGTCAAAGAGAAGGTTTCTGAAATAAAGACTTCTTACATCACTTACTACATCAGTCAATCTCTGCATATTGATCAAGCAAAATAAAGCAAAATGAAGCAAAAAATACTATTGTTTCTTAAGCCCAAAACACACTGCACGATTTTAGCAATCCTATAAGATCACTGCATGTCACACTGTGCGACATGGATCTAATAAACTTGGCTACGACGTGTGTAGACTATACGATGATGACACATATTGACTCGCACGTTACTATAGAAAAATAAACGTCATCAAAAAGAGCATGATAAATCACACTTTAGCAGTTGTATTTTTTATGTGTGCTGAAAAAAAAGTGGTGAAAGAGGAAGGGATAAGAGCTTGCGGTAAGCAGTTTTATGTTTTAGCACAATGTCGCGTTAATTTCATGTGGATTTTTATTGGATGGTCAGTGAACGTGGAACGTACCAGCAAACACACTTTGCAATGATCATTCTGTATCATAGGCTAACTTTGGTCGCAAGACCGTGACAACGACCGTCTTTGAACCGCTCTCACTGAACGACACAGGAGCACCGATTAGAGCCACGATTACAGAAATCGCCACGATTGTTTCACGATGCCAATATTTCGTCTGGGACAGCTGAAAATCATGCAGTGTGTTTAGGGCTTTATGCTCACCAAGATTACATTTATTTGATTAAAATTCAGTAACAGCAGTAAGTATTATTACGATCACTGTTTTCTATTTTAATATATTTTTAAACATGTTATTTTGCAAATTTTTCAGCATCATTACTCCAGTCTTCAGTGTCACATGATCCCACAGAAATAATTCTAATATGTTTATTTGCAAAAAAAAAAAATGTATTATTTGTTGAAAGCAGTTGTGCTGATTAATGTCTGTGAAAACGTGATGCATTTTGTTCAGGATTCTTAGATGCAATTCTTAGGTTCTTAGAAAGTTCAAAATGACAGCATTTATTCGAAAGAACATCTGAAGTCTTTTGTAATAAATGTCTTTGTCACTTTTGAAGTGTAAATCTGTCTTTGATGAAAATAAAGTATGAATTAAAAAAAAAAAATCACCCCACACTTTTGAATGGCAGTGTATATTATTAATATCAGTTTTATTTTTGTTGAAATATGAGATGTATTCAATTTAAAAAAACAAGAAACTAAAATATTTTTTCTGTATATATTTGTTTTAGATTTCATAAAGTTTATTACTATCAATTCTGTTAGAAGTGATATGTTTATTTACAAACTTACTATAAACATAAATTACCCTAATGTACATTACTGATGACAAAAATGAGAAGAAAAAAATCATATGCAAAATATAATCATATGATGTGTCATGCAGAGACTTATGGGAATGTCCTTTTGCTGTATATATTTACACATATACAGTTTTTTACCATATATGGTGTAAGGTAACTTAAGTTAACAATTAACAGGTTTTTAGCATCTTTACAGTCTTTCTGTAAAAATTCTAAGAATTATAGGTCAAGGTAATTTTTATTTATATAGCACCTTTAAACAACATTAATGCTGACCACGGTGCTTCACAGTAACACAATACAATGATAAAAAAATAAAAATACAAAGTTTAAAAATTAAATCAACAATTTAACCCATAAAACCGAATAAAAATCAGGAATAAGAATTTATCTCACTAAAACCAACATATCCAACAATTATAAATAGGCCTGAGAAAAGGGATACGTTTTCAATGATGATTTAAAGGGATAGTTCACCCAAAAATGAAAATTTGATGTTTATCTGCTTACCCCCAGGGCATGGAAGATGTAGGTGACTTTCTTTCTTCAGTAGAACACAAAAGAAAGATTTTTAACACAAACCGTTGCAGTCTGTCAGTCTTATAATGGAAGTGAATGGGAATCACGGCTTTGAGAGTAAAAAAAAACATACACAAACAAAACCAAATTAAACCCTGCGGCTCGTGACGATACATTGATGTGTAAAGACACGAAACGATTGGTCTGTGCAAGAAACTGAACAGTATTTACATCGTTTTTTTACCTCTGATTCACCGCAATGTCCGAACTGTCTGAACTGTCCTGAGCGCGTCCTCGACAGCCGGCACGTGACGCGTCTTCTTCTT